AGATCTGAGTAGTATTAGGCTTTGAATTTCAACCATTTTATTTTCAGATGAAGTTTTACTTTCAAACATATGAAGAATTCTTCAAAGAAAACATGCCTGCATTGTTTCGTGTCTTTAATCGAAGTAATGTTACACCTGACATATATCTCATAGATTGGTAGGTATTGCAGTCCTGTTATTTTCTCATGATAACGAAGCTTTTCTGTATTTTCAATGTTAGATTGTTACATGTGTTATGTTAAATTTTGAGATCAATGAAAATTTGTTTTATAAAATAATTATGTAAATCTCATTATTTTTAATCTCTACCATTCAGAACAGTCGAAATCCGTTTTATGGCATGTCCATTCAAAAGGCCGGTAAAAATTATGATGTGGGATAACATTTCAAGAAAATTTCAACTGTTTTATTTTCAGATGAAGTTTTATTTTCAATACTATGAGCGTAATGCAAATTTAATAAAAGTCGGGATGGGATTGTTAAAGGTCACAAACACAGAAAAAATGGCCGCATGTTGATATATCCAAGTAAATTTGTTATAACAAAGTCATAAAACATGTCATTTATGTCCTGTTAAAGACTCTTCTATCCCAAGAAAGGAAACTTTTTAGAATAAAGGCTATTGAAAATAATGAGGGGCATTTTGATGCTGTTATTCATATGACTTTTTCAGCGTCAAAATAAGGTACAAATCTGGTTTGAAAAAGTTTGACTATGTAAATCTCATTACTTTGTCAGACCAAATGTCTGACAGTGATTAAAAAATTTCGACAAGTCTGTACCAGGGGGGAAAAATTGTAATAATATTTGTTTTATCAGATTTCATTACATCTATAAAATTTTACAAGAAATTTTGCTTGGATCCCCCAAAACTTCCTGATAACCATTGGCTGTATTTTGATTATACTAACAAGTATTACTGAAAATAAAAAAATGGTTCAATACTTAAATGTGCAAGTAGAATTATCTTTCTTTATAAATGTAACTATTCCTGGAATACATATGAATATACAGAGCCTTTTATATGCAAGAATTTTAATGCAGATGCTCCTTGATTGATTATACTTTTCATTTCCTTTCACTAAAACCAAAAAAAAAAACACAACATATTCTTTATCTAGCCTTCAAATCTTATCCAAATAATTAGATCCAATTTTATAAATATAAAATTTTATTTTGGACCTAACATGTTGCGGATTTTTTTGTTTTTTAGGATCTTTTCCTTGTACAGTAAATCTCTGCCATTAGATATTGCTTGTCGGATCTGGGATATTTTCTGTAGGGACGGAGAGGAGTTCCTATTTAGGACAGCTTTAGGTAATAGCCTTCAAAGAAAACACTCGTTAACTTTGTCTTAATATACTGTATACAGGGTTATTTTTTACCTTTCACATTTGGAAACAAGTTTGCCCCGTTTTAAATTCGTCCAGAAAGATTTTTGTTTAAAGTATTATACCATTTACATGTACTTTAAATTCGCCCACTTCTGACTAGGGCGAAAGGGGCGAAAATAAAACAGGGGTGAAAATTTCCCTGTATACAGTAAATGTTTTATACTGGCACTAGCAGTTGAAGACAATTGTAAAACAATGTTAACAGACAGTACAGTAAAACTCACTTTTAACAAAATGCCAGGGACAGGCAATTTTGCTTTGTTATAAACAATTCATTATATCCACAAGTTATATAACTTATTGGGAATGAAAATCAATTCATTATAAGCATGTTTTACTGCACTTATTTTTTTGTATACACAGTATTGAAGTAAAATTGAATTAAATATGAAATTTAAAGAAAACCAAGGAATAAAGATTGTCAAATTTTATATAGTTTTGAAAAGTTGAATATCATTTAGAGATGAAAGAGATGGTTTGGCATTAATAGTAGTTTAGAATACTTGATCTCATTCATTTTTGTTAATAAGATGTAATTAATTTGAGATTTTAAATAAAATCACAACTTTGATTTAGAATACAAGAAAAGCGAGTGCTAGTTCCTTTAATGCCACTTTATGTTAAGTCCTACACCATTTTTTATAACAAACTAGCTTTGTAATGGTATTTTCTTTGCTTTTTACAGGAATTTTGAAGCTTTATGAGGACATTCTTATCAATCAGGAATTTATTCTTCTGGCTCAGTTCCTGACTAAACTCCCCGAGGACATATCCAGTGAAAGTTTGTTCAAATCTATAGAAATGATCAATATGAACATCGATAAAAAGAAATTCAGTCAAATTCTGGCCAGTAAAAAGGAGCAGGGCAAAACTGACCAATCATAGCAATCTGTCTGCTTCTGAGTGATCATGTGACATGGTTGTCCACTTTCTCTGTTGTCAATATCTGGAATACTCAAATCATGTGTCTGTCAAAGTTTTATTTCATAAACATGTTGTCTAGTCAAGAGGAAGACTAGTAAAAATATTTTGTGATATTTTTTCATAAATTATCATTTTGTTTAATTTTGTCTTGTTATTTGTTAGAATTACACATACAGGAAAGAAAATACACTTGTATTGACAGACCACAGACAAATTTGATCACAAAAAAAATTTGCATTTGAAAATTTGGAATTGTGTCCCAGAATCATGAGACAGTCTTGGACATACAAGTAAAAATTTCTGTCTCACATAAAATGAAATATTTGTTGTAAGATCGACTTTTAAAAATGAACAACACGTAAAGGAAATCAATTTTAACAAGAGGCCAGTGGACCTTATAGGTCACCTAAGTATCGTGTAACAACTTTCCAACAATTGAATTTGGTTCGTGTTTTAAACCAGAGACCGTGAAATTCACAATTTTGAAAGAGGCACCATTGTTTATCATAATTATAAACTTAGCATGCTTACTCTATTTACTTAATACCCAGAGGTAGATCAGAGTACCAAAGAGAAAATGCACTTCCACTTTATAACCAGTTGTGCACTCCACCCCAAAGGAACCAATGACGCTGGGGCCACAAATTTCAAATTTTGGAAATTTGATCATAAAATGGGTGATTAATACCAAAGAGCAGATTTCAAAGCATTAATTTATGTACCCCCCCGACCCAAGGGGCATGAAATTAACCATTTTGCTAGATGCACCTTCTTCATCATAAATATATATACTTGGATCAATGGCATAATATATACTTGGATCAATGGCATAATATCCAGGAGCAAAGCAAAAGATTTTCAAAGAATTAATGTATTTTCACTATATAATCAAAAGTGCCCCCCCCCCCCTGCACAAAATGTTAAAACCCCCAACATAGGGGCCATTTTCACTATATAATCAATAGAGCCCCGCCCAAACACCAGAACCCGAGCCTGGGGCCGTAAAATGCACAATTTTGGAAGAGGAACTCTTACTCATGATAACTATGTACTTACCGGTAGTTAGTTTATTTAATACCCAAGAGCAGAGAAGAAATTTTTTTAATGTATTTTCACTATATAATCAACAGAGCCCCGCCCTAACACCTGAACCCCTGACCCTGGGGCCATAAAATTCACAATTTTGGAAGAGGCATTCTTGCTCATCATAACCGTTTAATTAGTTAGTTTATTTAATACCCAGGAGCAGAGAAGAAGATTTTCAAAGAATTAATGCATTTTCTCTATATAGAGCTCCGCCCTAACACCAGAACCCCTGACCCTGGGGCCGTATAATTCACAATTTTGGAAGAGGCACTCTTACTCATGATAACTACATGTGTATGTACTTAGTTAGTTTATTTAATACCCAGGAGCAGAGAAGATTTTCAAAGAATTAATGCATTTTCTCTATATAGAGCTCCGCCCTAACACCAGAACCCCTGACCCTGGGGCCGTATAATTCACAATTTTGGAAGAGGCACTCTTGCACATCATAACTATGTTCTTACTTAGTTTATTTAATACCCAGAAGGAGAAGAATTAGGGAATAACTAACTTCTAATTTGGTATTTGCGACCGTTAATGCTGAGATTGCCGGCGATGCGTAAGCGGAGCCGGTAAAACGGATGTTTGCGACCGTTAAATCAGCATTAACGGTCACAAATACCAAATCAGAAGATTAGTTATTCCCATTCTAATGCAATCCATGCATGTTGTTTGTTGTTTACGTCTTATTTTGTTGAATTTTGTTACGTGAAATATGTCACGGAGCATTGTGTTTTTGCGTCGCTCTATTATGACGTCACAATGAAAAAGCTTTCATGCTCGTTAATGCTCGTTTTACTGCTTCAAACATCAGTGCATTAGCCAATCAAAATGTGTTTTACAAAATAATTGCATTAGAATTAATGCATTTTCAGTGACTATATAATTAATAGAGCCACATCCTGATACCAAAACCCCTGACCCTGGGGCCAAAAAAATTCACAATTTTGGAAGAGGCACTCTTGCTCATCATAACTGTGTACTTATTTAGTTTATTTAATACCCAAGAGCAGAGAAGATTTTCAAAGTAATAATGCATTTTCACTATATAATCTATATAGCTCGGCCCTAGCATTAGAACCCCTGACCCTGGGGCCAGGAATTTCAAAATTTTGGTAGAGGACTCAATGCTCCTTACATCCGTGCCAACAGTTTGTATGCTTGATGTCCAGGAGTAAAGAAGATTTTAAAAGATTTCATAAATTTTAGTAGTTCTGGCCCCACCCCTCAGGCCCCAGGGGGGCGGGGACCATAAAATTCACAGTTTTTGTTTCCCTTCACCCATAGATGCTGTTTACCAAATCTGGTTGAAATTGGTTCAGCAGTTTCAGAGAAGAAGCTGAAAATGTTCAAATGTTAACACACTCCGCACAACGACAGACGAAAACAGATAGCAATAGGTCATCTGAGTGACTCAGGTGACCTAAAAAGTATTAATTTTTATTTTCTCTATCAAAATTCTAAGACTTTGTAAATTCTGACTCTCTTCTAAACCTGCTTCATGATCATGGGGCCTGATCCACCCCCAAATATTCTCAAATTACAATGTACTCCCATACATACCAGTACTGTACAACTTATGAAACAAAACTAAAATAAGAAATTTGGTCTAATTTATTGAACATTTCACAAATAACATATAGATTATTCATAAAGATTATTATTCTCTGATATCTCTAATAACAAAAACAAATGATGAAAAAATATGAAGATCTTGGAATGACATCTGACATCTAAATGTCTTGTTCACTTAACTCGGGCTACATGTATGTAACATTCCCTTATATAAAGCACTTAGATGACTTGGAGGATATTTGACCCCTAAATGTCTTGATAACTTATCACAGGTTATGTAACATTCCATCATACAAAGCACTTAGTTTTTACATCACAAACTTCAAGGCCTGAGATCTTTTGATTTAAGAATTCAAACAACTTAATATCATACATTTACATATTTAAGTAAACTGCCAGAGATAATAATATGGACGGATCTTAAATATTGCCAACTTTTTGGTGTAAAGTATGAATTAAAATTGTTTTGAAATAATGTAAATTATAGTATAAGTGTTATAAAAATAAAACCGATTGAAGACATTCAATACACACTTAAGGGTGATCCATGAACAATGATTACACATACTCTGCCCAATGGAATGAAATGCAATGGAAAAGTTGGAAATGTTTGTAATAAACAGCAAATAACAGCATAAATAATACAGTCATTTTATAAATTGCATCACTTTACCAGTATGTAATTTGCATATTACGTAATGAGAAATAGTGTAATTAGTGAATTAAATTAAAGCTATACTTGCATATTGCCTGCAGAGACATGCATGATATGGAAAAAGCAGGTAGAGAATACATCCAATTAAATATTTTTAAAGCAATTTTTAGAGACTAAAGTTTGATTTAATTTGTGCAGAATAAACCCTCTCTATCTCCAATAGCAATATCACTAGAATATCAGTTTCTAAGGTGACAATTACAGATACAATGTACATGTAGTTTGGTTTTCTGAGAGAAAAAGCAAGGAAATTTACACAAACATATATCACAGGATTAAACAAAATGTTAACAAACTTATTATCAAAGTATACTTGACAATCATTTCAATTCTTTTTTCTACAGCTTAAGAGAAGTGTTTGAGTATCACATCTATGTGTAATCTAATGCTATAACAAACAAACACTTTCCTAATCCCTCAATGAATTTCCTGTTCAGTGTTTTTCAACCTAGTGTATTGTGCCGAGAGTTGTTGCCCCTTGCTGTCATGCCAGAATGGCTCCTTTAACCTTTATGCCCTTGCTCTGTACGTAATCTTCAAGTGTCCGTGCAATTTTCTACAAAACACAGATAGAAAGGGCAGAAAATCAGATATTGATTTCTGGTAAAATTTCAAATGAATTTCCTCTTGTCTACGAACATGTGATGATTACGAACCATGACAATAGATTCTTCTGAACATTTCCAATAACACCTAGGATGAGAAAACCTCCAAAGAGCCAGGATTTTGTTAGCAAATTAATTTAGGATAATGGACAACACAGGACAAATTGATTGAACAAATTAATTGAAAATGGCCTGATAAGAATATAAAGGAAAGCCAATTTGATCCTGAGCTGGCGTTTACCTTGAAATGAACTGCACTTATCAAAGAATGTGAGAGGACTTGTGAAATTTTTGACCTACCCTTCTTTCCATGGAGTGAGCCATCTCGTAGGCAGTTTTACCATACTACAAAAATAATTTAAAAATATTTTTATAATGTCAAAACATCTCTTATGTAATCATAAAGGATCTACAAATACGTACAAGGTACACTTACAGCTGAAATGTTTCAAATTGAGAGAGCACTCTTCCTGGTATTTGACAATTCAGTTATTTTGTACATTTTGAGGAAACATCATTATCTTATTTCAAAACTAGCTGCATTTAAAAGGATGGTTTTAAATACTATTCCTTTTACTACTTATAATAAAATTGGCCAGTGGACAAGAGATGACCAGAAAATTAAGATTTTTTTTTTCTTTTGCTTTGTGAAAGATTTTTCTCCTAGCAATTAGGACAACAACATTTTTCATTTATTCAGTCAATAAAAATTCTCTATTGAACATAATACATTTTTTTTTTGAAAAAAATATTACTAGTATATAATATATGAATTACAAGTACCAGATTTTGGACAGTGATATCTGCACCCCTTTGTAGCAGTAATTCCACCAGATCTTGATGACCGTTGATTATAGATACCATTAGAGCTGTCTTCCCATCCTTATCCTGAATATTAATATCAGCACCTGACATCAGAAGGGTCAAGGCCACACTGCGGTTACCATTCACTGAGGCTAGAAATTTATTATCATCTTTGAATATCTACACCGACTTATCTGACCTAACCTGTGGTGAAAATTTTAACTTTATTTCTTGAAAATCAACTTAATCAGAAACTCTTGTCATAGATATGTGGTGCCCAAGTGGTGAACATCCTCAATACTTACCACAGTACATAACTGGTGTTTAACCTCAACATTCACCACAGTGTATAGGTGATGAATGTCTTCAACACTTACCAAAGCAAGTGGTATCCACCATTGGTACTTACCACAGTGTATGTGGTGTCAATCGCTGCTTACCACAGCATATGTGGTGTCCATCACTGCTTACTATAGTATATGTGGTGTCCATCACTTACCACAGTGTATGTGGTGTCCATCACTTACCAATATATAAGTTGTGTCCATTACTGCTTACCACAACATATAAGTGGTGTCCATCACTCTTTTCCACAGTGTACAAGAAGTGTCCACCACAACTTATTACAGTGTATAAGTGGTGTCCATCCTCAATGCCTTCTACCACAGTGTATAGATGGTGTCCATGCTCAATACATACTACCATAATGTATAAGTGGTATCCATCCTGAACACTTACCACATCTTATTAAGGGTGTCCAGCCATGAGAGTGATCCCTCAGGTTCACATCTGCCCCATCCTTGATGATCCACTCCAGGAGCCGAGTGTTGCCCCCGTCCACCGCCCAGTGGATAGGTGTAGATCCTCCCCTGTCATAATCATCATACTTAGCCCCATGTTTCCTCAGCAGCTTAACAGCTTCAAACTGACCAGCAAAACATGCCAACATCAATCTGTGGAATTTCAGAAATTTACTTTGTTGAAAAGATCGAAAAAAATAAATGTACAATGAAAACATCTTTATCTAGGTGTTGAGTAATGCACATTTGATTTTTTTCTGTGTGTGGGGGAATAGGGGTTGAGGGGTTTATTGGTTATAATGTTTGTAACAGAGACAATCTATTGCCTCTGCTGGGGATCGAACCCGGGACCTCTGGCTTGCCAGTCCAGTGCTCTACCAATTGAGCTAAAGGGTAAACCCACTAGCTCAAGCTAGTAGTAGGATGCAATGTATCTTTACCACATTTTCATGATTTTAACAATGACAATTTGAGAATCAAACAATATAGAAATGCTTATTTGTTGCTATAATCTTACATGAAAATTGGTTCACCCATCAAGTTTCAACTTTTTAATGATTGGACCAATTTTAATCTCATGGAGCCAAAACTGAAACCTCAATTCAATCATTAATTATAATTACAGATATAAATTCCTGTTTTGTAATATGAATGTTTTTTTTTTTTATTTTTGTTCAGTAATATCATCTGTCCTCAGATACTATACTTACGCTGTTTTGCCTGAATCATTTTTTGCATTCACGTCTGCTCCATGTTTAATCAAGATCTCCATAATACTAAAATAAATAAAATTTAAAAAAAGATAGTGAAACCTATAGCATTCTTGCTCATATTCTTTTTTATGTGAAAAAATCTTAATTTTTAATTATGTGCTTATACAAATGAAACATGAATATAAAGACCTTGATGCAAAAAAATCATGCAAACATGTATTAATTCATATCTTTCAACATAATGACATTCCAAAGCCTATTCTTGATCTCAGTCTATTAAGCTGTAATTAATGTGAATGACCACATTATCCATACTAAGTATTTATATGAACTTGTGCATTGATCAGATACCCATAACCATACATGTGACACAAACCAACAAAAAACCATGGGCTACACTGCTCATCTGAACACATTGGCTTGGAAAAAGCAGAAATCAGTTCAAGGAGATATGTTTTGAACACTTAAAGCTACATTCACAAAAGCTGTTTTCTAATTTCTTTGACTGATCATGCATAGCTTTAGATTTTTCAACATTTTTTGCAATATGTAGCCCCACCCTATCCCTTTGGAAAATTATTTAAACAAAGTTGAAGTTACACTACCTGTCAGAATGCTTTTGAATAAGTATGATTGATCATGGCTTTGCTGTTCTTGAGAAGATTTTTTATGATTTTCCCATTAAAACTCGTTTAGTACAAACACGATTATTGCGAATTCACAAATATAGCGAAGTTATCTTGAATCCCAAGTTATATCAATTTAACCAATTCCTTATACGGATATAGCAAATTACGAGTATAGCGAAGTAATTTCATAGGTCCCAGCGAATTCGTTATATCCGAGTTTTACTTATTCCCTTGTATATCATTTTCATTTCCCTGTTGTGGCCACTCCTTAGGATCATGAATTAAACAAACTGGAATCTACATTATCGCATTCTGGGGATACTTTCTTCTAAACATGACTTTGATTTTTCCTATGTATTTCTAAGTAAAAATATGGTGAACAACAGCAACAATTATGAAAGACAATGGACAAATTTGTATCAGAAAAGCTCACTTGCACCCTTAGCTCAGGTGAACTAAAAGCTCTCTAAAAATCCTAAAGCATCAGGCCCACCCTGAACAAGTAGATTGGTGCATTGCTCATCCTTTGAAACAAATTTTTATGCATAACTTTTCCTCTCATTCTCTTTTCTGAACCTATGAAAAGTGTAACACTTTTTTCAGACCACTGCGTTTTACCTTTCTCCATCGAAATCTTTTGCCCTGTTACAGAAGCATAATACAATGATCAAGTTTGACAAAGGATTACAAAAATCATCTTTAAGGTAGGTCACTCCTCAGCTTTTAAGAAAAGTTCACGCAGAAGCTTTTACTTTAAAACTACTTATCAAAATTCAATTTTTATAACATATTTATATTCAACAATGTAAATTTTTTAATATTCAATGAAAAAACTGCTCAAAAATCAACAAAGAAGCAAGATTTATGAGGGACTATTTCTTTTGGTGGAAGGATATTTAGCAGAAAATTCTGCAAATCTGCACATTTATAAAATTTAATGTAATGGAAATCCAGCCTCACATACTTTTACTTGGAGAATATTTTCCGTTTTGATATTGCTAAAAATATTTAATATAGGTCTTAATTTATATTTTTAGACTTAATTTTACACCTTCCCTCAACAAACTTTCCCAAAAAATGAAAATATATGAAAGAAGTCAAGGTCAAATTTACACCATTTTTAGCCTGAAAATCACATATTTTGACAAATATTTCAAAATTAACATCACTGACCCCACCTTTTTCTTTCATTATTTTAAACTACTCGATACTTGTGATTGATCAGCACTCAAGTTGTAAAAAGTTTGATATAAGAAAATTTTTTATTGCCTATTAAGTTTTTTAATACCCCATTTATGTTATTTTTTAGTGCAAAAAGGTCAAACAATAATTTACGCGCATTAATTTGCAAGATTTATTTAATGTTAAATATTATTCAAACTATTTTACGTAAAATAAGATTATATTTATTGCCATGCTTACATCTAATCAAATATAATAAGGGTTAAAGTAATTAACCAAAGAGATGAAATTTAAGTGCAAAAAGGTCAACTTAAATGTACCGTAGATCAGTAGGATGCACACTGACCCCCTATTTTCTTTGCGATTTTGAGTTACACTTTATGAGTACTTATCCAAAATATACTTCTCGAAAAATCCTTGATATAACAAACTTGAGGAGTGACTTACCTTAAGCCAACAAAGATATATTCATTACAATACTCAACAGGCCCTGTCCAGAAAAGATCTGTTAGTTATAATATAATGAATTCTTCAGTGGTAATTATTTCTTTGGCCAATTATAAGCATAAAGTACCGGTAGATATTTTTCACCAGACCAAGTATATTAGTACCTATTTGATAGCACATGTATATTCAGTTTAAAATTAATGTAGCCTTATGATCATAACCTGTATGCATACCCATACAACCTTATATACAGATAGAACCATCCAATCAGATCATTTATGTGATTAGAAATGGATTTACTCAAAGATACATGTAAACAACGAAATGAGGAGACCTACTCAGTGTAGCCTTTCTGTGATGCCTGCATAAGTCCAGTGAAGCCATACTTATCAGGAACGTCAATCGGTACATCTCTGGAAATAAAAAAAGTCCAAAATTGTGATATAACATTTAAATATTATGTTGATTCCATTTAATATACCGGAACTACTTTCAGTCCGCTATCAGTGAAACGGAAGGGAGGCTATAGGATTTCCTCTTGTTTCTCCATCAGTCCATCGATATCAGTTTGATTGTGTTAATTTTCTTTTTCCTCTAAAAGTTTGCTTTAGGGGACTAGTATGGTTTGTTTTTATCAAATAGTTTAACTAGCTGGAACAAAAAAACATTTATATCACAAATTATGTCCCCTTCACTTTCTGCAAAGCAAGAAGACAGCTAGCATGAGTCATTTAGGGTATTTACAAATGTCTCAATATCAAAATTATTTCATTTATTTATTATATAAAAGATTCTCTCTCTCTCTCTCTCTCTCTCTCTCAACATGCATACTGGGGTATATGCTTTTAAAAGTATGCAACATGCATACCGGGGTATATGCTTTTAAAAGTAATATACATTTATTGCATGATAGTAAGGGAAATATGAAAACTTATTCAGCCAAGCAAAAAGTAATCGATACCAAAACTCTCTTAAATGTTATTATACCAAAATTGAAATAAACATATTTAATTACAAATTCATTTTTTAGTTTTACTACAAAACCCTTTGTTCAATACATTTTCATCAGTTTTGTGACTATTGTGACCAGTTTTTGGGCTGGGGAAAATATACCCCTGCCTATCATAAAATAATCTCTTGTTTAGAATATTTATAATGAGGTATAATAATCTCTGTTATTCTGGCATTGCCAGTCCTCAATCCAAACTCAGACAAGGCACCCCAGAAACCCTTCTACTTTTATAATGTACCCTTTTACTTCAATTCTAATGAACAATCCTGCAAGTTATAAAGATTGTTTTATCAATTAATATTGTGAATGAATGCTAAAATAATGTTTGTTAAGACAAACTGTAATGCCTTCCCCCTTACCCCTCCAAACACACATTTGAACTACCATATCAATAGGTATATTACCTGATGTCATTCTTCCATGACAATAATACAAACATGTTTATCATTTGACTGTTTATCTCTACGTCTTTATCACCTTTTTATAGTTTTCTTTTTTCATTTAAAAATCTCAGCCGTTCTACCCTGGCTTATTTTCTCCCTGGCTTTATGACTTACACTGCAATATCTACATATACCTACAACACCCCACGCAATGATCAAAATTTTGAGATATATATTTCATTAAAATGCCATCCTATGCTTGGCACTCAATACCAGAATTAATTTTTCATCCCTCAGTACCGGTATTTCCAGTTTTATTACATTTCCTGCATGTCAAGAGAAACATTTAGATTATATGCTACACACAACCTTTTTTCTTCTTCTCATATCTTCATTGATTTTCTCCTGACCAAGAATGAATTTTATCACCATTAAATCAATTATTGATACCCGAACTTCTATCAATAAAAACTACAAAGCATACTGAAGTGTGAAAATATTTGATGTATGTAAATATAGCTGCAACTCGTTGGGTTCGTAGTAAGGACACTTGGGAAACCAATAGGTAGACTGCGTACTTTGGGAGATACGGTCCATTTCATACCGATAAATAGAAAGGAACAATTTTTAATAGAGATCAAACTATCTGTGTAAATACTTTAATCTAAATCATGTCTAAAACGATCTATTTACTGATTATGGGTTAACCATTATTTGACAAGAGGAACTTGATTTGGGACATATCCTTATATTGATATATCATTGAATTTCACCAAATAAAATAGCCTTGATAAACACATTACACATTTCAATACACAATCATAGAAATAAAAGGGAACATATTGATCAGGCTAAAGAATTTCACAACTGACAATAGGAAATTGGAATTCAATGATTTTCTTTCACACGATTATAAAAAATTTAATATATGGTATAGTGTGCACTTTGATAGTTTTTCTCCCTATGGAATGACAAGCAATATCTGTAAAAATGAAAATAATATTAGTTTAATAAGTAAATACATATGTTTACATAGCTCTTATACCTTCACTCACCTTGAAATGGTATTATACTAAAAGTTTTTTATAAAAATATTGAAATTACATAAATGCAAAAAACCTTGTACTTGATTTCAAGTTTTTCATTTTGATCTAACCACAAAACAGTAAAATGGACCCAGAACTCCTATTCATTACCTTAAATATTAGACAAAACTCATTTTTCTGATATCTTGATATTAGTCATATAACCACTACATGAGAACAATTCATTTTTCTGGGTAAAATTTTACAGTTTCCATGCAACATAGCATTTGCAAGAGGTTAAATTTTGTCAAAGTTAAAAATTTAAAGAATGTGTTGATTTATTACTTAGTTTGGCATACTTTTTAACACCATTTACATAGTGAAAATTCTAATAAAACTTTACTCAATGCAAAATTCAAAAAAAATTTCCCCAACTTACCATTTTCAAGTTTAAAGTACTAAATAGGAAAAAATTAATTCTTGAAATAATATTTTCATTTTTTATCTGAAAAAAATGGACAAAGAGGTATCATTCACTGACAGACTGAGAGTCCTTCAATTGTTAGCAAAAAGCTATAATTCATGGGCAAAAAACTATCATGTACCGGTAAAAACCTGCCTGATAGGTAATGGTATGATCGGCATATGGTCATTGTAGGTCTTCGTAGGATCGTCAGGAATGTAGCGAGATTGTAGTGGGAGTGTTGGATGTCCAAGAAAGTTTATGTGAAAAAAACATTTTGTGCCAAATGTTTTTTGGAAAGTAATAGACTTGTAATTTATAAAACTCGATCGTGAAAATTCTTTCATTACTTTTGTTTGTGATGACGTCAAATCTTTCAATTAAATATTGATCAGCAGAATGCTTTTAAATTTAGACCTAAACACATCTGAGAAAAGGATATACAAAGTGTATTTACAATAGATCTCTTAAATTGCTTATAGGAAATCCATATTGTAAGGTATACAGGCATAAAAATATATCCAATTTTCCACAGAAAAGTAATTCTTATCCTTTTAAGTAAATTTATTTAATAAAGTCCATAAAATAAAAATTTAAAATCTAATTTCTATTATTTATGACTAAATTTTCTTGTTGTGGTATATTGATGTAGACTAAATGTATTTCTAAAATGCAATGGTATGTTTATGCTATTGTACATTACTATATATTCAGCATTCTGGTAGATTTAACTGCTTGCACTCATTTTTAAAATTCTTTGTATAAACAATAATGTAGCAGCATATATATGTCCACAGTGAGAGTTTATTTAATTTAATTTACTTGTAATCTATTTTGTACAAACTGTTGAACACTTCTAATTCATCCTTTGTTATAATATCTCATGTAGGGAGAGGAATGCTTTTAAGTTTTTAGAAAAGGATATACAAAGTGTATTTACTAATCTCTTACTGTATATATTTTGTGCAATAAAATATGTTCAAATAATTCTTATCCTTTTAAGTAAATTTTTATATTGAATATTTATTATGGATTGTGTCTGAAGCAACAATAACTCCATATCATTGAATGCTGCTATTAAAACAGAAACTGGCATGAACTTCAATAAATAATGTAATCTAAGTAGATTTTTTTTGTTTTTAAGAACCCAATTTAAAAAAAGCTGAGAAATCTAATTATCAACATACAATCACATTTATGTATGGGAGTAATAAAAAATGAAATGGTCACAGAACTTTAAAAATTACAAACCATTTAAAACCTGTGTTACTTTTTGTAAATGATCATTCAATACACAGCACTATTAGTGATTTAATAGGTCACCTGTGATAGTTGAGTTTTTGGTACCACTTCAAACTTATTCAACCTTGTGAATTTTAAATGCATAATTTCATGTCTTACTGAAATGTTTGTTCTGTCACGTAAAAGTGAAAATTTCAATTTTTGTTAAGAGTAAGCCAGACAGATTTAGCTAGCAAACCAGTTAAATACATAGCAAATCACAAGGGTCAATATTCAAACATACATTTCAAGTTCAAGTAGCACATATGTATGTACAAAGTACTCACTTGCCCCCAATTCTGAAAGAAATGTGAAATCTCTTGGCTGAAATCAACTTCAGAAAGACTAAATTTTTCTATTAAAATAAAATCATTTTAAAAATTTTTTTAAAAAAATATATGGAACTTCATTTTTATTTTTCTTGAGGTTAAAATTTGAATAAAAGTGTGAAAGTTAATTTTTATTTTTAAATTTTTATAACATACTTAGAACCTTTTATAAATGCAAAGTTGTCAGATGAGTCATATACATAAAAGTGTATATGTACTACCCATCAAAAACCGTACAGGTATATAAATTTGGATTTGAAATCGGTGCACCTGCTAAGACAATCTGAAGTGCATACTCAAACTCTTAAAACTCCTTCCTAGAGAGACAATTGTAACCTGGGGCCTTTCCATCAGGTAAATAATTCTCTCCGACTTCACATCAAAGGCACCTCAGTACAAGTACAAGGCATGACAATCAAAGCAAAAGAAAAGGTTTTAAATATGTTTTTTATAGTCAGGTTAAATATATTGGAAGTTCATTGTGATTCATTTTGCACATTTTATGACACCCCTTGAAGAACAATTCAACAGCATTTAGACTTTGTTGAAAATGTCAGGTCTTGACATATGCATAAAGTCTTTATCATGCTTATGCTGCATTGTCTTTTATCGAGTTTATGTTTTGCAACAACCAAGCATAAAATTATCATTCAATGTGCAAATTTATTTATGTGACAGTCATTTGAATTTGAAATTAATACACAGACCAGCACATATACCTCGATCTACCCCTCAAAAACCAAAACAACCATTACATGTATTTCTTTAAAGGACCATCATGAAAAAAGATTTAATTTGAACCTAACTTTGTAAATACAATCCATTATTTACTAAAATTGAAAAGCATGGGTTAAGATCTTCATGCATGTTGAACATTTACACTTATGGAACACACAAACACACATATCTATACCCCCCTGACCTGGTGTGCTTTTTAATCAATCTCAGTGCATTATGTAAATTTGATCTCTCACAAATACCCGATTATCACTCAATGAACACCAAATTTATCAAATTTAGTGACAAACCAGGTTAAGGATTTGCCATTTATATCCAGCTTTACCTAATTAGTAATAGAGGCTCAAAGATAAAGCCCAATTTGTTTTCTCAAGGTCATGGGATCCTAAAAGTGAACCATAATGGATCTCATGTAATCCTAAATGTAAATATTATTTTAAATTTCACTTTATTAACAAAGAAAGCAAGTTTGATTGAAATGAAACAGCTAAAGGACAAAACAGCACTGAAAATTAAATGTTGTAGGTAAATATTCAGACAGCCAGCAAACTAAGTCAGCTGACCATTTCTTTTCCTCCATGTTCAATAAGGTTACTGTTAGTTATGGTTACGGTCAATAACATGAACATGGATGCAGAGGAATTTGGAAAGAATATGTAAGCAGGTGCTACTGACATCAGAATAAAAATACACCTTACTACTAATTGGGAAATAGAGATGAGTTGCTATCCCACCCATCAGGTACCCCCCCCCCCCCCTCCATCTGACCCTGACCCCTCTGTACACCTACCCTGTTTCCAGTATCCTCTCTATTTCTGTGAGATCTTCCCTAATAATGGCTCTGTGTAGGTGCTCTCCATTTAGTGGTTCCTCTGCAAGTATAAGTATATTCTTAAATTATTATGATATAGTGTATGTTGTTATTGCTAGAATTCAATATAGTTTGTAGAGATACAATCCAAATTGGTCTACAGTCAGTCCTCATTACCTCAAACATGATGGAGCTAAAACGTTTCACAATACATAGGGAGACATATATAGTTAAGAGTCAGAAAAAAGAAACTGATTTATTATAAATAAAATTTGTAATATCTGATAGTTCAAAAGAGGTTTGAAAACCAAAGGGAATGATAATCAGTATAATGCTAAACTGTGCTATACTAAAATCTTGTAATTTATAGGTGCTTGTACATGAATTCTCCATTCATTATTTTCAGTGATTATTAGTGATAATGAGCTACTAGTGGTAATGTCTTAGACTTACTAGTGGTAATGACTTGCTAGTTATAATCTCATACTAGGTGTGGATTCCATTTATTGTTCTCATTGATTTACAAGTGGTAATGACTTACTAGTGGTAGAAACTGTTAGGTGTGGACTCCATTCACTGTTCTCATTATTGGTCATAAAGCGGATCCTATATTTGTACGTGGTCTGAGGGTCTGCCCCTGTGACAACATGTGAGTGGGCATATCCTCTGCAAATAATATAAACAGAAACTAATAATGGTTTTTACAACATTTATCTATTGTGAGATGTTCTGAAAAGCAGTTCTCTCATAATATCTATCAGGTATATCTGTTTAAATCTGAAGTAAAGACTTCTCAGGGTATATTTTACCAAAAACCTGCCATAAAAAATAATTCAGTAAGAGTTTTTGAAATCAAGAACTTTTCTTCATTCCAATACGATTAAGATATACCGGTAATCAGGAAAAATGAAATATGTCAGTTTCTTTTAAATTTTTTAAACCGCTGAACCAGAAAAGTAACCGACATGAAAGCTTCCTTATATCTCATTAATTATACACAAAAGTGCATGGGAAAGATAGCTTTATTATGCATAAGAATGTATGAGAGAGATTCTCTAGAAATTGGTAAGGAGCTACAAGCACTGAGTTTCCTTTTGCCAGCAAAGTTAATTTTCTTGTGTAGTCAGTGACTATGAAGTCAGTATTGGGTATCAAACATAAGTACATGGAATATATAGTTTTACATTGGTACATAAACTTACTTTCTCTACAACAAACATGCTATAATTTTTTTTATAAACTTTGTACTTAACATAAAATTTCTGAAGACTAAAACAGTGATACTATGGGCTTTATATACACAAAAGACACAAGTTTCAGATTCGTTAAATGTAGAATGTTGGAATGGAAGAGAAATGTCTCTCAGGTGAGCATTGTGGCCAATAGCCTGCTTTTTAATCATGTTCTATAAATATAATGCATTGTGGGAGTCATCATAAGACCAATTTATCAGACAAGTTTCTCTAATTGTTCAGCAACAAATAACTAAATCAGAAATGAGTATCAAAACTTTGAATATGTTCCAACACTGATCAAATAGTAAAATCAAATATTGTGTAATATTATTGACAAAGACATCCATCAATGCCACCACTTAAGTTACAGCTGATCTTAGACAACAAGATCCCAGCTGGAAATTTACTACATCAAAGGTGTTCCTCATAATCAAAAAAGAAAACTTATTTGGGATTCCTACAGAACTAGAATAAATAATCAAACAGAAAACTAAATTAAAGAACTATTACCCATTAGACCACTTATTGATTGTTTAAGTATCTGTTCAGAATAATATTCAAGTTAAATTCCGGTATATGCACTGGAAACCTTGTCCAAAATTTAGAAATCAAAGTATTCTGTACATTTAAAAATCTTCATTGGAAAGAAAATGCCAAAAAAAGGAATACAAATCATCTAAAGCTATCACGTAATACCCAGCTTCTTGTGAGAGGAAAATGCCCTTTTCAGGGATTATATTATCAATGATTCTTTGGCACTTGTATTCACACTATAAATTCTAACAGACACAAAATAAGCCCATCATTGACTAATACCTCAAATCTGTATTTACGATTCATTTCTTTACAGTAGCATTAGTGGCATGTCAATAGAAATAGATTTATCAGTTATTCAACGTGTTACGTGATCTTTTTTCCCTTGAGAATTGAACATTCTATCTAGACAATGCATGATTGCCAATCTGCCATACCTCTGTAAACATCCCCCATAAAAAATAATTTGTGGGGTGTTTTGTTTGACTTGATTTGTTGCTGGGGTACCAGGGAGATTGAAAAAAAGTTAATTTATACTTGAAGCCTAATAGTACATTTTCTAAAAAGCTATTTTTTTAACAAAATTACTACTGCTACTTACGTGTAGACGTTTCCCCACTGATTTTGTCTGTCCTGTTCTTGGAGAGACACTTTTACCAATTCCTTGCCCCCGATTTCCTCCTTAGCTTTGTCCAATGCTTCATTCCAGAATAATTCAATGCTGTAATGGGTGACTTTTCCTACCACTGGGGGAGGTGGGCGGGACACTGAGAGAGAAATGGACATTAGGATAATACACAGTTTCCGATCTGTGCTTAATATTCATTTCTGTCTTATCTAATTAAAAACCTGTCAGTTTATGGAAACTGTTTGGAAAAAAAATTCAAGCGAATTATGATTATTTGATAATACTGTGTATTAGGCATGATAAGCACAATGATAAGTACAGATGTAAACATATATATAGTTTTTATATACTTTAAAATCACCTATTTCTGTGGGGTCAGAATTTTTGAGGTTTGAAGAAAAAACATTATTTTGTGGGGATTTGATTTCATTGTCAGAGAATGTATAGTAGCAATGCATATGAAATTTTACATTTTCTGGTGGTCATAAATCTTTGGGTCTCTCCGTACCCTGAAAACAATGAAAATTAACTCCCCACAAATTTAGTGATTTCACAATTCATGTATACATATAACTAAAATTTCAATGCAAGAATAATAAAAATAATTCAACTGGTCAGTAGTAATTTGTAAAAGCTACTGTATATATAATTGATGATATAAAAGATGAAATCATTGCGCATTAAATACCTGAGCATAAGATCTTTTAGTGACCAGATTTATTCAACATTACCAAGGACTAATGCTCATTTTATGACAAAATGGCATTTTCCAGAATCTTATCAATATTTATTTTACTCTTGCAATTTAATCTTGAAATTTTGGAGTTTTAAATCCTTGATAGTTTGATAATAATTGAGTTGTCACTTTAACCTAACAAAACAATTGGTGATTTTTTTCTTCAACTACGCATAATCTGAACTTCTAGTACTATGCCTTTTAAATCACAAGAATGTTTTGGTTGGTGAATCAAATTTGGATGTCTGTAACGTACAAACTCTATGGGCAATGAACCGTCTTATCTTATATAGATAAGATGAATTAAAAAAAACATCTTCTTGATTCTTAGTCAGTGGACTTAATGCGCAAGATTTAATTAGTGAATAGAACTTCCCAGATAATTCCAGAAACATTTACATGAAGAAAGTGAAAAAATAGCTATAAAATACTTCAAAAATATTTTTTTTTCCATCTAAATTTATTTCAACCTCCAATTTTTAAACAAAAATATCTTACAACTGTATTGACATGGGGATGATACATGTATTACTGCCAGTCAATAATAATAACATCAATCATAATAATTCTTGTAATGGAAACAATCATTGATTCATTCAATCATTCATGAAAACATTTATAACCAATCATAAAATTAATGACATTTTTAAAGAAAGTCACAAAAGTGCATTTCAATAATTAATTAATTTATTGGCTTTTGTGATTTTTTATATATCAAAGGACTAAATAACCCTTGCATCCAGGTCCTGTAAAAGGAACCTATCCTATTGAAAATTTGCACCTTTTTCCAGTATTTAAATAAAAATTCCAAAATGACATGTTGAATTTTTCAATATTTTTATATTAAATATATAAAAAAAAATTTGAAGTATTAATGATTCAAACAGATGTGAGTAGGTAATTAGCCTTTAAAGTTACTCTTTATTCAACAGTGTAACTTGTTGAAAGACATTACTTCCAAGTTTTGCAACCTTTTCAATATTTTTTTTCTACATTATACATATTATCATTTAATAAAATAAACTTCGGTAAATCGCCTTTTCAGTGAAACATAGGAAAGTTTATTTCTTTCTTTTTTTTAACTATAACATCAATTTATTCTGTTATTTGTAATTTTGATTTAATCGGACATACTGATAACATCTTTCTGCTAGAACACTTGAGAACTTCCTGTCAACAGTAAACAAAGTGCGCTGAGATGGATACAGCATTTTTGTACACGTCCAAAGGTCTCTTTTCGTTTAATCAATGAATTTAATGTTTACTTACGTGACATTGGAATTAATGCCCTGAGTCAAAATGCAATCCGTACGTACAATTTGCAGATATGGAATGCAGCGCTCTTTCCCTTGTCGCACTCTTTTGTGATCGGAGATAAAATGATTGATAAGTTTGGACAGGTCGTACGTTAAATTATTCCAAGACTTTTTTGAACACCACTTCCCCATTCATCATTTCTTGCAGTCTTCTAATCAATAATGGGTTAAAAAGATGGAGGAAGATATATAACGTCTTTTTCTAACACCAGAGAGAATTAATTCCTATTTTATTTTGTCCATTTCGTGCCGATTTTCGAAAAAATAGTATGTCGAAGGGAGTCACATCGAGCGTCTGTTTCAGAAATGAATTGATATATAGGGGTCTATTCATATATTCTAATTATTCGACTCTTAAATTCATAAAACAAAATGCTGTAAGTTGTCGTCCATAGATTGTCCCTTTTGTGCCTAAAGATATCCGCTCTATGTAAAGTTAACATATTCCAAGTCATTCTCATTCACATTCACACGAGGCGTGTATTTTAAAACCGTGAATTCATGCGACTGTATGACTTATCTATACGTAACAATTTCTTGTTCATTTATTTTCGGACTTTTCCGTCATTTGAAGTTATTTCCCGCCGATCTTAACAAGGATCAAGACAAGGAGCACACAGCAGGTGTGACCAGTCGGCAGGGGATTTTCACTCCTCCATGACACCTGACCCCACACCTAATGTTTTAGAGGCCCGTGTTTGCTCTGCTCCAAAATTCGTAAACCCCCCCTCCTCCCCCCCCCCCCCGGATAATTTTGCCGATACCAAAGAAAACATAGTTTCTATATGGGCGTGTCCCTCAATAAAAACGTCTGATATTACCTTTAAATTCTGCTTGTCAATAAATTTTTGGTAGTTGATACTAGTGCTCCCAACTGAACTTAAATATATGGCTGCCCTCCTCCCCCTTCCCCCTCCAGCTGAAATCGCTTCCTATGGGCCTGTTGATGGCCTTTTGAGCTTGAATACTGTTCGTTATCTCCATAATATATATTTCATTCTTTATAAATCGTGTAAATATCAAATACATGAATAACGCTTACTCCGAGCTATAATATTCGCTCAGATTTCGAGTTGAACGTCTAATTAAGACACAGCTCAATGTTTTGCAGAAACCACAAGGCTTTGCTCCTCTCCGGTAGCAAACCTTTGAGCAAAAATCAAAACATGAAAAGATGAAGAGGTTGCCCACCCACACCCTCACTCCCACATGGCCTTAAAATAAAATGAAAAAAACGCCACTGGATCACTCTTGGCATTTTTGCAAAGTTTGTTATCTAAAAACTTGGTTAATATTTTCATTACGGCAAATAGTAATTAAAAAAAAAAAGAAATTTACAACTTATCACACATTTTTGCAAAAGCATTCTTTTGCTTAATTGTCCCATCGTTAAATTTTACGTACCCTTCCTTTTCACAAGTCTTGGAATAACGGACCTCGGACCCCATTGCACTAAACCACCACATATGCCCATATCTCTTTCTCAATAATCAAATTGAATGAGTTTGAATTACCATAACCTATACTGGATTCCTAAACTTCATAAATATCCATACGTAGCGGGTTCCAGTAAATGTTCTAACAACCCTCCTTTTTACTCACTGAAACATTAACAGAAGTAAAGGATACAAAGCTTATGGTGTATTGTACAGCAGTAGCTTCGAGAAGTAGTGTAAATCAGATGTGGATACCTAAAAACTCAAGAAAGTTTAAGAGAATTTGAAACCACAACTTAAATCAATAACCTTGATGCATACTACATTTCAACACTTTGTTCAACCGCTCATTACAAAAATTAATATACTTATCTTGTCACTGGTCACTTTCAAAATTATTTAGTGAGAAAAAAAATTCTGGTTGTATATACAAGTAATCTGAAGTTGATATTAAAAAGATGCTTGAGTTTCAAATTAAGAATATCTACCAGTATGTACTTTTTGGAGATCAGATCTTCCAACAATTTGTCGGAGTTCCTATGGGTATCAATTGCGTCCCGTTGTTATAGCAAACTTGCTATGAATTCATGAATATATATATATGAAAGAGATTTTATTTAAAATTTTCTACGTGAGAAGAAGAAAAGACGTTGTGGCCTTCAACTCGACATTTAGATACCGGTATATCGAAGACCTATTATCAATTAACAATATTCATCTCCATTCATTGCCGATTCAATATATCCCAGTGAACTTTGAGAAAAAGGACACCACAGTGTCTGGCACATCTGTTTCATATTTTTATTTTACTCGAAAAAGGCGTTATTGGTAAACTAACACCAAAACTTTGTGATGAACGTAATGCCTCTAACTTTTCTATCGTCAATTTTCTTTACTTATGTAGCAATACCTTTCGCACCTGCATATATTCGATATTATGGAGTGTGCTCTAAGTTCGATCAATTTTTAAAATGACGCAAGCTATTGACCAACAAGTTAAACGGAAAACAGGATATCAATAGTTTGAAGAAAACATTTTCGCAAGGTGTGTAAAATGATATTATCAACAAATGCAAACTAACATAAGGTCATAGGAATTTTTTCATACTTATATTGTAGGTCATAATTTCCATCCTGAAATTTTTCCAGATTTGTTTTGTTTACCCAGTCATGACAAGTAGCACACAGGTGTGACCGGTCGAAGGGTATGCTCACTCCTCCATTTTACCCGATCCCGCCTTTATTTTATTCTATAGTGAACTTGAAATAAAAGACACCACAGATTCTGACACATATGTTTCATATTTCGATATTTTAATGCTGAGAAAAAGACGTTAATGGTAACATAACAGCAAACCTTAGTATGATAAACGCGGTGATGACAAATTTCCTATCGTCAGCTTCCTTTACTTATGTACCAATATACTCTTATCATGCTTATCACTTGAATATAGGGATTATATCTCCCACTTGACCTGATACGCAAGAGCATGCTCTAATACGATGTAAGCTATTGACAAACAAGTTGCTGAAACAAAGATATCAGCAGTCTCGTTTAAAGTCATCATTTAGAAAGTTCTATGGCCGATACAATGACCTTGCCAGCAAATGCAATCTACCATCAAGGCGAATGTTGACTGACTTTTTCATACTTATTGTAAAGTCATTAATTTATGTACACTATATTGTCTTTATGGATTTGTCAGCCGGTTTACCAGCCGTTCATGACAAGGAGCATATACAGCGGGTGTGACCATCGACAGGGGATCCATCCTCTAATTAATTAATTTAGAGGTTTTGTGTTTGCTCTGCTCCCTACTTGTATAATTTCAATGACTTTTGACCTTGATCACTTTTCGTTATTAAATCTATATTTTTTTTCGATCGAATTGTATCATGAGCGACTTACCTATTAATATAATTGAAATGTCAACATAGGTTTTTGAAAAGTTTAATTGGGTTGAATATTCCGTGTTCTACCCGGCAATATCAGCAACACATAAAGGTTTAAAAACAATGATTTTATAGAGAAGATTCTGTTCGAGGTAAATATTTCAATTGATAATACTTGACTTAGGATTTTACTGAAAAGCGAAGAACTTAAACATTGGTGATTGGAGTTTGACCCAATTTGCCAGCGTGTTACATTGTTATTATCTCATGTAAGAAAATTGTTGATCAGTCAGTTTTGGTGTTATTCATTTTATTGAATATATATTAACAACGTAGACCAGAGAAGCAAAGCGGTAAATAATTGATTAAGTATAGGCCAACTATCTAGACCGAATTTTCTCTTCATTGGTTAAAAAAAACGCAAAATCTCATCCTGACTGATTCAAAATTCGCTTTTAAAATTATACATATATGTTACATCTTGTAGCATTTTCATTAAAAATATGTATATTTATTGACATCATATACTTTGATATCATGCATCTTAGAACCGCAAGCATGAATGTGAGAATATCAATAATCAAAATGTGTTTTGGTATAAGCACTGGCCACAGTTAGAATGAATCCCATTTTCCCACAATATAGCAGAAATTGCAGAAATGCTTTGAAACAAATTTTGACAAAATAAATATGATTGCATTAAAAAAAATAAACCCATCAGCTAATCTGAACTGTTAGCATTGTTAGTGCTTGTGGTTACCTTTCATCCCCACAGTGGAATGGATAATTAATTTATCATCTTTTCTCAACATATTTTACTCACTTCAAATGTACATGCTATGTTAACATATGAAACTATCTGAATTGTTTATAGTAAATAACATTGTGTTAGAGTTATAATCTGTGAGTGCTGTGCTATATCGCCATTATATACATGTACGTATCACATTCTGTTGTTAAAATGGATCTATTAGACTTAAGCACTATGATTTAAGAGCATTCTATCTAACAAAACCTATATATTCCTCCATCTCTCCATCAACTTAGTCTTTCTCCTTGGATGCAGGCTTATACATATAAAGAACAGGATGGAAAAAGTGTGCTTCAATTGAATCAATTCATTGAATATGAGTAAATGCCTGCACTTATATATTTATGAATTAGATTTAGAACTCTGAATTAGTTCAATTTGAAATAATCCTTCTTGAAACATTAAATATGTGTAATATAACTTTACCATATCTAGAACTTAAAGTATTTTGAAAAAAAAAAAATCTAATGTGTAATTCAATATGCTCAAGATGTTGCTTACTTGAAGAATATCATTTTTATATTGACCATGTTGTCAGTGAAACCTGAGATTCCACAGAATTTTCCTGTTGATATTAACAATATTATAAGGGACTGAAGTGATAGTAGAGAAAGTTAAATAAACAAAAATGAATACAAGTTACAGTCTGTAACAGACATCTAAGATACAGTCAGGTGCTTGTAAGGTGCCACAGGCCATCATGTTAGACAAACCATACTTCATTGATTTCAATTATTTATCGGTATTGAGTGGTAACAGTGCAATTAATGTGGTAAGACATTACAGATAATGTACATCTTATCTACATACTCTGTGTTATCATGACATTTAGCAGTTTATTTTATTTGCATACCAAGGTAAAATTCAAGTTTCTTATTAAATTATAGCATTTAAAGCAATCAATTTTGTTTATGAGTTGCATTAAAATGAATTGA